GGTAGAGTAGTTTCACTAACCAAGAGATGACCATGCTTTTTTTCTCATTTTTAACAACTGTACAATGCCAAACAAGGCCATGCCAACCAGATTTCGCTCCAAGCCAATCACCGCGTTTGTTGGCATTTTCGCTCTTGACTGATCAGAATTGGAATGCCCGGAATTTTAAAACGTGAAACGAAAGGAGCGAGAAAATATTATCTTATTCTAAGGCTTCCGTGGGCTTCAAAGTTTACTTTTTTGATCCGAAAGATTTTAATAAAACATGCACAAATCTTAAATTTTGCCGTGTTTTTTTTTTAATTAGAAATAGCGATGTTTGAATTGCCGCGCTGATTGCACTCTATAGCGTATACTGTAATATCATGTCAAATCGATCATTTGGCGCATATGTAGTATATTTTGTAGTCTGCGGAAACGAGCGTGAATTCGATTTCCGTGACATATGTCTATTGTCTATGTTAGCCAATTAAAACGTATGTTCAGCGACAGCACGCGTATAACGCATGTAGGACCACACGAACGGAGCCGCGTTTTTTTATTATAATAATAAAATTAATTAATGTAGGCTACTTGTAGTTTCATTCTGATAATAAGAACGAAACTTCGAAAAAGTATACCCAGAATACAACTACTGTATCAATAATAATGTGTATTAAAGAAGACACCTCTCAGTTGGAAAATATGATATGTGTTTTGGAAAATATAATTGTTTTATATTGAATATATTGAATATCTTCAACTTCAATACTATAGGCGACGCCGAAGAGGTTTGTCTATACGTATGTCGACCATGAAAAAGTCGCATAGGATGTTATCAATAAAAATATGGTGAGGAAAATTATGTACGTACATTAGCATGCAGTGTGTTTTCTAACCATTAAAGTAGTTTGTGTTTGTATTTATACACTGTACAGAGTGTGAAATTGACATCAATTTTATAGTTAGTACTATATAGTACCAGTTTCAGTGTGCTTTCTTACGTCGCGCTGTTACAGCTGGCACTTTGTTGCAATACGTACGGCAATTGAGAGAAATTCAAATTAACACCTTCCCAAAAAAACATGATCGCCAAAATTAAATGCATTTTGTTTATAACTTCAGGTTAGAAATTGATATCGGTAATAGATAATCGGTTACGTTATTTCACCGTAAACCATGCAGCTAGTTCTATTTAATTGACACTTTTTAAATTCAATGCCTTCCAAACAAATTACAATTCAGTAACACTTTGCTCTCATCTGGTTAAAATAGTTTTCAATGTGAAGAAAACTTTGTGAAGAATCGTTCGAAAACGCAAGAGCAGAAGTAAACACAAAGCGATAATGTAAATGCAAATATTAATATTAACAACGAGCAACTTTGGTCTTTGTGTTATAAATGTGCGAGTATATAAAATGTACATTGTAGAATAAAGAAAAATATAGAAAAGTTCATTTACTTTTATACGGTCACAAGCATAAAATCCTGATGCATCTTTTGTTAAAAATATATTGTTATTGCAAGTACCAAGGCCTAAGTGAGAATAAAAACAAAAAATTTTGTTGAAAACGCCTCGAAAGATATAAATATATGTTACGACTGTTATTGTTGTCATTCGCATTTTTCAGTCGCGTGAAAATCCCACGAATATTCCACGCATTTCCCACGAGAATCCCACGAGTTAGTTCGCAGTTTTTAGGAGCTACATTCTGATTGATTGAAATCGAATTCCCATTCGTTTCCGCAGACGTTATTTTCCAAGCAAAGAATGAGCGTCGGAAATGACGTCTGGGTTCGCAGACTACATATTTTGTAGTTTTTCTTCCATTTTATAATGCATGCATATAATGGTAATTCCATGGCTGCCTTATCGGAAATGCGTCAATAGAGTTAAATTGAATGGTGATAAAATCAATATGGGTCATATCTGGTAATTACGTTTCCTGTTCGCATTAGCATGCTGTACTGATGTCGTTTTATATTTACCTCCACCAGGAGGTTATGTAATCATTACCTCCGCCAGGAGGTTATGTAATCATCTGGGTTTGTATGTGTGTGTGTGCGTATATGTGTGTGTGTTTGTCTGTGAGCACGATAACTCAAGAAATACCAAACATATTCATACGAAATTTTTTTAATGCATTTCCCATCGGCTAAGGAAGAACTGATTAAAATTTGGTTGAATTTGGTTAAAAATTGAACGAGAAATGAACAAAATTTTGTCTTGCTTTTCCCGGTCAATTAAAAAAACTCACTGAATGCGTAATTAGGACGTGTATAATGTATGCACGCAGTACTAAGACAATAATGAGATGATAAACCTCATTAAGCTTCAGCCTTCATTATCTATTGTCTTAGTTGCATTTCACGCGACCGAAATTCAATGTCTAAAACAAGGCTTACGGAGTTACGCATTATTGCGTTCAGCAAAGTGCCAGTCCATTCAAATTCTAATAACATTAGATTACTTCAATACAGGGTGTATAAAAAAAACGCAACCTCGGAATTTCACAAGAAATCGACATTGTTTCAAAGACAAAAGATTTTAGCTGCCTGTGAATTTAAAATAGCACAACTGTCAAAATTACTGCACACGCGAGTGCATAAAGCAAAATTTATGCATTTATTTAATGACACTTAATAAGCTTCGTTTTACAAGTACTGTACAGTACAACAACAGTAATATGATCTATTAGCAATTCGATTTCAATTCGCGGGGGCCTAAAATCTTTTATGCTTAAAGGGAAATGGCAATATATTTTTTTATTTTCTCATTTGAAAGAACTTTTGAAACTATTTATTAACTTATTTTACCGATTCTTCATATCTTGCTTGGTTCTTGAAATATTTTCACTTGAAGTAATGCGATGTCAGCCATCTTGGATAATTTTTTATCTCATTAACGGTAGTTTTGGTGACGACACAACAGGGATTAACCATATAAAACTATTCGTTGCTGACCAAATATTAATTGGTAGATGTTTTAAAGGTTTCAAGTAATCTTGATATTTCCAAGGGCATACGCAGTATAATTTTGAGTGCAAAATGATTAGTGGTTGTCGAGATAAAAATATTGCATGACCCTGGTTGTGACGTAACATGCATATCTACAAAAATCCAAGATGGTGGACATTTAATTTCTTTCGATTAAAATATTTGTAGAAGTAAGCAAGATATCAAAAAACGGTAAAAGAGTTTTATATATGGTTTTAAATGTTCTTTCAAACGAGAAAATAAAAAATATATTGCCATTTCCCTTTAAGAATTGCAAAGTGGATTTCTTAGCAAATTCCAAGGTTGCGTTTCACTTCCGAGTAGTGGGCGAAGGTATGCAGTCTCTGAGTGCCCTCTAGTTCATACATGCAGTAATTACAGTAATTGCTAATTTGTTTCTAAATAATCTTCAATAAAAGAAACTTCGAAGCAGTACGTATATTCAGTACTGCACAAAGAGAAATGGAATAATTTTGCACTCGCACAGTTTTTATTGTGGGATGTCAGCTCGTTTTCAATCTCGAATTTGTTGCAGCAAAGCGTTTATCCTTCTTTCATTTTCCTCAACTTCTGGCTAGATCTCGTGTTCATATTGCTCGTCATCATTGTCGTCTAGATCTGTTCCGCATTCATCGTCCCTTGCTATCTCGTCTTCGTTCTCTTCCAAAGTATCGCTTAGATCGTTGTTGAAGACAGCCTTGTTTGCTGTCTTGCCAAGAACCTAGAGCTTTGTGACTAACGTGGCAAAATGCATTCGATGTGGACAGAATGGCCACAATCACGAAACACTATTTTTCACATGGGACTTTCCATCATTCAAGTAAATCGCATTTTCTAGAGTGAAAATTAAGGCTTAAGGTAAATTAAGGCTTAAGGTAAGCCAAATCTGTTTCACGCTGTAAAGTTCATTGTCTTCAGTCTAGACCATACAGCCTTAACTTACAGTAGTATCAGATCATGAAAGTTCATTTCCTTAATGAATTATGATGAGATCACAGCCGCTGTATGATTAGGATAACATATTTATAATTCTATTCACTAACAAAATACTACAAGCATGTTTTTGTTTTTCATACCTTACCTGCCCCCACTCCCTCTCACTCAGTAATTATATTATAATTATTTACAATATTTTCTCCAATATAAGTAGACTTGATATATCAAATTCCATTTTGTCAGGTATTTAGGTTGCCATCGAACTCGGAGTTGCTGGGTTGCCATGTTAGGGCAATCAGTTATGGATTCAAACCTATTTGCAAGAAATTGTGCAGCATTTGACTTAAAAGTATCTATCTTCTCTGTACTACAGTTGATTCTCTTGGGTGGCAGAAATGCAGGTAAAGACGGTGCATCTGAGAAGACCAGTCCTCGAATAAATCTGATCACCAACAAATGGAGCAATGAAGTGATGGAGGTATTTTTTTATAATTCAATACTGTCTTTAGAATTGTTCGTACGCCTCATTTGGTATAGTTGAGTTTGTTGTTAATCATGGGCCAGTAGTCTTTGACGCTTGAACTCTGGATCAAAATATTTGGCCACCACCCAGTCAGGCATATTTTCTGCGTATCTCTTTGTAACTTTGAGGACACTGTTTGAAATAAAGACTTTCAAACTATCGATTTTAACTGGGGATTTGAGCAACAAGGTAATTCCCTCCTGGGGCAATACTTTTATGTTGAGAAACACTTTCAAAAGCAAAGTGGCCATTGTTTTATGTGAATATTGTGGTAGTTGTCAATCGAAAATATCAGAAACTGGTTGTTTTCTTTTGCTGATTTGATAAAATTAACAACAGTTCTTGACAAAGCTACTTGGAATGAGTTGGATCTGAAAACACCATGATATACCTAATAACCATTGTTCAGGCTTTACTAAACTGTTTGCGCTCAGTGGACATTCGATCAAAACATATGGCGTCATTTATGCAACTGTGACAAATATGCAATATGACACCTGATTTTTACAAGATCATCATTATAAAATTGGGACAAAATGATGCTTTCTTGAGTAGTGAAGCATACTCTTCTGCCAAGAGAAAAACACCATCCATTGTTTGGCACTCTTTCTCTGCAACATTTTTCGACTAGGCGAACAAAGGTCTTGACTGTCCATGCTATTTTTTGGCTGGGCCAACTCAAGGTGATTGTCGTTGTATCGCTTGTTTGGCGGTACGATGATACTTCTTCTATGTTTTTTACATCCTGTGGATTCTGTAATCTACCAGGCAGCTCACCAGGGGCTATCAATGTTACAATACCTTGGCTATCAGATTGTTCTTGACTGCGGTCTGATTGTTGGCTGCGCTCGAGGTATTCAGTGGAAGTTGAAGATTCAGGACTGACCAATTGTAGTAGGTACTATCATAGTTCAGCGTTAACAGGCCAGTGTTTATATCATTAGCGAGCTTAAGAAAACGACATTTTGTTCAACACGAACGTCAGATTGTCTGGGGGGGGAGGGCTGGATTAAAAACTGTGTTTGTATCAGTTTGTGGTAAAATTCAACACATACGACAAAACATAAGATTTTTAAAGTTTTTTTCTTCCCTGCACGAGTGCTATATGATGCAAAATGCCGTCAAAATTAGTTATACCAGTTTTCGGGTGACGTCCGTGTTGACGAAAACGTCGCTTGCTTAAGCTCACTTGTTGGACCAGGAACTGGTCCCCAATCGCTGCTAATCTTGTTGTTGTTGTTGTTGTTGTTGTTGTTGTTGTTGTTAGGGGGCGACGCTCTTTGAAAAAACCCTAAGGCTCCGTCATTACTTGTCTGTTGTTGTTGTTGTTGTTGTTGTTGTTAGGGGGCGACGCTCTTCGAAAAAACCCTAAGGCTCCGTCAT